GAGAAGGAGATCCTTCACTCATTTCTGCACTGGAATTTAAAAGAAGTGGACTGTGATCCACAAAAACATATAATAAATTTGTAAAGTCTTTAGCAAATCTAGGCTTTGGTCTTTAAAGATTCTTGGCTGCTTTACCTTTCCAGTGTACAAGAAACAGCAGCAGAGAACAGGTCAGAGCTGAAATTATGCATTTTATAATTTTGGCTTCTTGCTCTTGATAATCTCTTACAATGCTAAACATCCCAACTGCCCTCCCCGCCAAAAAAACCACTGTAACTATTTATAAAGGTACTGTATAATGAATTGGAGGCAGTTGCTTTTGACTGAAACACCTCTGTAGAAGATACCATATCGTGTAAGATACATGAGACAAAAAGGAACTGGGCAGTCCTGAGGCTTTTAAAAAGAGACCACAACTGATGGACTTCGGCAAAACTTCAAATTTTTCCTTCTTAAGAAGGTCTGTTGGGAGATTCCGTGGAGGAAATGAACGGGTATCTTTCCCAGATTAAGGTATCCCAATTCTACGAAATCAGAGTTCGACAAAAGATTGGCATCTAGTTGGAAGAAGTGGAGAGGAAGAAAATAATCGGGATTGTTCAGGAGAAGTAAAGCAACGTGAGACAGCAAGTAGATGCCGCCGTCGCTGGCGATGTTGCCGCTAAACCACGGTGTCGCTTGCCAGGGAAATCAAGACGCCGCCGAGAAAGCTCTCTGCAGCCTGGCAGTTGGATCTAGAGATTCAGAGGAGGAAAGATGTCCTGGGAAAGATGGTAGCATTTACATTGCAACCGCAGCGTCTGTCAAAGCCTGAAGGAAGGGCCTAATGAAACAGCTTGTTTTCCACACAGAAGAAAATCCAGAAAGGTTTTTTTCTAAATAAAGTATTGTAGGCGGACCCGATGCTGTAGAAGGACTTGTGTTGGCGCTTGGAGCAATGACAGTTCTGCATCCGACCAGCTGGTCTGTTGCTGAGCCTCGCTTCTCTTCCTTTCCCTAAATATTTATTAACTGGACAAATGCATGGTGTATTTCCAATAGACCCAGTAGTGTCGTAGGCATAGGCAAATAAAATCACGCGTGGTTCTAGGTACTCTTGTGTGTGCCTGGAAAGTCCGTGCTTTACAGAAGTTACAGCATTAAACTATATCAAAAATACAAAAGCTACAAATTCAACAGTGAGAAGGAAGGTGGGAGTGGAAGTCCATATTAGGAAGAAAGAGCATTATTTTTATGTTAGTCTTCTTAAACTGTAATCATTCTGTCTTGGCTGAAATAAATCAATGAGCTGGTGTTGATTTTACTATTAAAAACACTAAAACGAGCCTAAACTGGCATATCAACGAAAAATGCATTACGATGCTTTAAACAGGAGCAGCAAATGGGGCCCACGCGATCTACCAGATTGTAAATCACAAGCCACTTACACTGGAGTAGCCCTTTTGGTTAAATGGGAAATTTTACGCAAATTGATTGCATTCTTCCTCAGTTTGTTCCAAAGCAAGTTGTACCTTGGTCTGCAACTCAAAAAAGACCAAATGTGAAGAAGTGGGAGAGAAGAAACTGTGTCAACTCTAAGAGGCCGGGATCTTAGGGTCAACCAAGCTGGATCGCGCAAGTTTCTTCTTGCTCCCTCCAACTAGGTCACTCTGGCTCCCACATGGTTGTACAGAAACATAGCTGTACCGCCGCCCAAGCACTTCCTCGTAGTTCGAAATTTACCCTAAACCTAAGGTAGGCTATTGCTTAGAAAATCACACCCAGAGTCTACACTAGTTAGCCCAGTGCTGGTGGGTGAGCCCTGGGGACTTCCCAGCACCTTCTCACACCACAAAAGAGCTCCTGGGATGTTCCAGGAGTCTGAAATCCTGGCCACAGTTGAGGTATTTAAACCAGTAAGTCAAAAGGAATGCCCCGCTTGGAGCCAGGTACTGAGGTTTTCAGATCCTTTTCCAGCCTTCAAGAAACGACTTGGTCTTATCAATGCCTGGATTTTCCTAGGCTGTTATCCGTATGAAAGTGCTAGAGAAATCTTAGAAAACATGCATTACTTCTTATCCCAGATGTCATAAAATTATTTTGCTTGGTTATTTTGTTGAAATCAGTCTGAATGTTTACCAAATTAAGTTGTGCCATCTTTACATTATCTCCTTACTTAGCATTTCATAGTTAGAGATGCTGGTCTAGAAATCATGATATCCCAGGGGCACTTTGTATGGCTGCATGGGCGGGGATTGAATAGACAGGTCGGATATTAAATCAGCGGGATGCAGAATGACTTTTTGCCACAACCCCAAGCTTGCTAAATAGTTTCGCCCTCTGAGGGGGCGACTCACTGACCACTTGCACAGAAGTAGTCTTATTACCCTTCGTAGGACTGCGCTAGTGTAAATAAACAACGAATCCATCTCTTTTACCTTATACCTATGGCACAATAGGGCAAGCACATTTGCATATATAGTGCCTGGAATATTGCCTGTGTGGGGCATTATAGAATGCAGTATTACTATGGAGCGGTTCCTGGAGCAGATCGTAGTGTCGAAAAAGAAATTGCTTATAAAACAAGCTACCTGCCTGAAGTTAAGATCCATATAAAACTTAATTGCATATTATTATGCTTTTAATTTTCAAAAAACACTTTTGTCAAATGATACGTGATATCACTTTCTTATAGGGATTGCTGTTTGATATGATTAATTTATTTCCATGAGAAATACCATTATTTGTGAGTGCTCTGTTAAAATCCTGGAATGATAAAAACTTTTTCTTAAGCAATTAAACGTTGTTAAGAAAGTAAATTCTGTTGTAATCAATGGAACTTACTACCAAGTAAATTGGTTTGTGAGTAGATTACAGGTGTAGATTGGTCGCATTCGTCTCGGAAACCTTCTAAGTTACGGAATTTAAGATCCGGATGGTTGTGTGCCTGCAGATACTTTTAAATGTATGCATGGCTTCATTTCTACATCCTGCACCCTCAAATTAAACTGCAACCCAATTAAAACTAAGTAGTAGGATTTAAGATGATTTGGTCCCATTGATTTTAGTGGGACTAAAACTGGATTTAAATAGAAGCACTTTGGTTTAACTGGGTTGTAGGTGATCATATGTACAATTAACTTTATGTATCTGCCCACGCATTAAAATCTATATGCATTCCTAAGATGTAGAAACACACCGTATTTTCAGAGTTAATGCAGTTTTACATGTGAGCAGTTACAACTGTTGTGTTATTTGGCTGACTTGAGTGTAGTAGTGATTTATGCAATGAACATATCTGTCGTTGTAGAGTCTTTATTTTTAGGGGGGAAGCGAGTTAAATTAGAGGTTTTGTGGTTTGCCTTCGCTTTCATCCGGATCCAGTTTTACAAGGGCTGAAACTTTCAATATGCAGGACGTGCCCCTTTGCTTGGCAGGGGGTTGGACTCGATGGCCCTTGTGGTCTCTTCCAACTCTATGATTCTATGATTCTATGAACAGAACAGCCCACACTTGGCCCTGTTCGCTTTTTCGCTTTCACATTCCTGTTTAAAGGCCTCTTTCTCCGCGCGGAATGGCAACGTAATTCTTGATGGCCTGTTGTAAGCTTGCAGTTCAAGCTGCCTCAAAACATATTCTCTTCCTCCTCCTAATACTGCTGATTTTTTCCGAAAGTCTTAAGTTCTTGCAGTTTCCCATTCCAACTGCAAACTTTGTGCGATTGTGGTAGTTTCTGCGGCTGCTCTCTAAGGCTTCAATCGTATGGACATCTGCTTGGGCGTAAGCCCCATCGAACACAGTGGGACGTACTTCCGAATAAGCAAAAGCCCTTTGGATCGGGTTGCACAGACTCCCTGTCAGCCAATGCGTTTGCATACTAAAGGCTGCCCTGTAAGGTATTTGTATCTCGATGGGTGTGCTGAAATAATTCCCCTTTTCGTGCAATACACTTGACTTGGTATACAGCTCATGGAACTTGAGTGGCTTCATGTTGGTATTTTCTGTCTGGATCTTGAGCAGACAGTATTTCCTGCAAGACTGTTATGTTCTCCAAAAAGGATACGACAGCCTGCTCAGTCTCTTTAAATATTAGTTTTACAAATATTCCTGCTTTTTTTTTTCATATTGTCTAAAGCCACTGCAGTGAATTGATTGTATATATTAACGGTCTATACACTATTTGCTTTGGGAAGTTGCAGCGAGGTTTAGAAGAATTCAGAATGCAAGGCAATCCTATATACTCAGAAGTAAGTCTCACTGAGTTCAATTGGGCTTACTCCCAAGAATATTGGACTTTATTTATTTATTTATTTATTTATTGTATGGTAGGTAGAAATGCCAAATATGTTTTAAGAATGATGAAAAAGCAAGTTCAAAGATACCATTTGTGTTTAACATTTTGAAGCATTGACCTCTTATAGCAGAAACAAGGTCTAGTAATATAATTTTGGTCTACAGCCTCTTTTTCTTTTTAAAAAAATCCTCCTTAAGAAATATTGCCAAAATATTTGGGAATAACATCTCTTTTATTGCACTAAAGCAAATGAGAACCACATTTATTTTACTCTCCCCACCAGAATATTAAATTCAAATTGGATATTATTGTCATTGGATTCGTATTTATGAATTTATATAACTTTAGGTTTTGCAAACATACTTTTCTAAATCACTTTCCCAGCTGTTCAGACATTGAAATGTATATATATTCACAAAAGAGGAAACTTGTTATATGTACAAAACATATTGTACATATATTACTGTCATGTTATATATTACTAACCCTGAATGCTTCCAAGTTCTAATGTTTAAAAGTTTGTTTGCCCTTCTCATGTACAGATGTATTATCTAAAGTTTCTTAATTATTCAACAAATCGATTAACCATCTGGTAGCAAAATTGTTCTTCTTCTAACTTGACATTCACAACTCTTTTACACCTATGTACAATTCCCTTAGGACTCAGGAATCAACTTTAAGGATTATATATTGCTCCGGTTCAAAGTTTTGATGCACGCATTCTAGATTTCATAATAAATGTGGTTTTTTTTATTTAATGCAGTCTTCAAAGATTTAAACACACAAAATGCAGTGAAATTGTCCACAATTTTGAGACCACAGTTGTAAATAGAAACATTCATATTTCATAAGTTTATAAATATTTGATACTGCGAATTGTAAATGCACATGTTTTATAAACTGAAAAACACCTTTGTTTTCTTGCTAAAAGGCAATGTCATTGATTTCTGTCTCCTAAGCAGCTGATGATTATTCACAGAATTTTAAATTACAGCATTGGTTGTATACTTTCTTTTCTTTCTTTTCAAAGTTGATACTACTATGTACAATATGTGTCTACTATAATTGTGAAATAAAGAGAGTTTTTAAGGCAAAGCGAGAAGTTTAACCTCAACAATCAAGAAGACTATAGTCCTGAATAATTGTACAGCATCCTCCCATGTGAGACCTCTGGCCAATATTTTGGAGACTTTTCCTTTCCCCAAGAAAAGGAGAAGGGTTGAAGTGTGGGAGAAAATTCTGAATAAAATACAAATAATTAGCTTCACTGTATCTCACATTAGAATCAGAAAATTTAAAAATGTTGGGCAAGGAAAGGGGGGCAATAAGAAATACACAAAAATCATTATGACTTTTATGAATTCTTCACAATTCTTCATAATGTATGTGCTCAATTAAAAATCTCTCCCATTTTCGGGAATGAAAGGCAACTTTTTTCCAACATGGGCTAGTGATTATTTCCCCTTAAAAGAAAAGGCCAGTTTCTAACCAAGAGACTTTAGAGACAACCCTAACCCTCCTCCTTTTATATCCTCTTGCATAATAGAAGTCAGTTAAGCTGAAAAGGTGCCCTAACTCTCTCTCCACCCTCCCTCCCTCTAGATTTGTTCTTTTCCTGAGCCAGGCTGGTTGCATGGAAAAGCCTTCCCTAGCCCAAAAGCTAGTGATGCAGACTCCTCACCCCAACTCTCTTATGTGCACAAACATATACGCACACACTGGCTCCCCGCCCCCACAGATGCCACAGGGGCCTGGTACATTTGTCCACAGCACTGCAAAGCTAAAGCGCCAGGCCAAGCTGCTTTCTGAGCAGCACTTTAAAAAGAAGCAACGAGCAAGCGCCAAAGCAAAACAATGTAGGGAACTAGCAGATGAGCTAATGGGACACAACAGCAAGGCAAGCTCCGAAGCGTGTGGGGTTACCCTCCCTCTGGCTTCTCACACTGGGCAATGTCCATCCTAAAACTACAAAGAAAAGACCTTCTTCCCTTTTTACTTCCCAGGACACGGTCCCGGAAGTTACGAGGTTTTATTCTAAACTTTTCCCATCACGCTCCTTAGGCGGGAATAATTATCGAATTAACATGTCCTTGATTGAAGTCGGCCACTATTTGTTTACCAACTTTTTCTGAGTCTCTAAATACTACCTCCCCTCACTCACACACACATCCTTTACTCCAGTCTAATGGAGAAATGAGGATAAATTCAAGAAACGTTCCTAAGGCTTAACATCATGTTTCAGTACTTCTTTCCCCCGATTTCTGAATGTGTTACTTGCAAACGGGCGGCATGTTTACATAGTTAGCTTATAATTTATATTGTGATAATTAAAGTTCTTCTATACCCATCCCAAAGGCAAACACAAGAGGAAGAAAAGAAAAAAAGAAACGTTAAAACTCATAGAACAAATAGGAGAACTATTTATTCGGTTCACAGCCTCGTGAAATGCAGCAATAAAAATCTTTGGACTTCAGCAAAAGTTGTCTTTAATATTTTGAATTTCAAAAAACAGTGTCCAGTGTCCATTTAAAACAGTGCTTAAGTCTATAAAAAGGTAACTTAAGCTTTTAAAAAAATTGATAAAGTTAGCATCTAAAATTTCCATAGAACAAAAAGAAAATCAAAAAATATTTTATAATCAGATATTTTGGATATTTTTTTTACAACACCTTACCTGTAAATTATATATATATACAGAATATTGCAGAATTATATCTAATACACAATATTTCCCCACTATTTATGCTGGTATAGTTTTTTATACACTGGCCCTTATTTGTTTTTGTTTTTAATTAAATTATTGCATTGTATAAACTCTGACTCGCCCCTTCCCCTCCCCTCCCCTGGCTCCCCCCCCCCCATCTACTCGCTGTCTGACTTGCCGTCTTTCGAGGCCGTGGAGTGGTTGTACAGTCCTTGTGCCATGAGGTGAACCGCCAGGGAGTTCTTGTTGCCGGTGGCTTTCTTGATTTTGGCCCGCTTGTTCTGAAACCAGATCTTGATCTGAGACTCGTTGAGGCTGAGTTCTTGAGCCAGGCTTTGCCTCCTCTGCTCTGTCAAGTATCTGTTCGTCTGAAACTCCGCTTTGAGTCTTTGCAGCTGCTCCGCCGTGAAGGCTGTCCGGGGACGTTTGTCCTCCTTGTTGGGGTTCTTCTTCTTTGGTTTGCGGGATCTGGGGCCTGCGGTCCGTGGCGAGAGAAGGAGACACAGAGAGCGAGAGAGGTTGAGTGGAGGGGCGCTTTGGAAGGGAGCCCAGAACGTGCCCTGGCTTGGAAGCTTAATTCAATTAGCAGCACCGGGCGAGGGAATTTGGGCGGGGAGGAGGGAGCGAGAGAGGGAGCAGAAAGAGAGTCTCAAATGTCCTTCGCTTTTCGAAGCTACGTGCCAGTTGGTTCCCTCTGCCCCTCAGGGACCAAGTTCAGCGCATGCCACCAATGCCCCTCTCGCTTTTTCTCCAAGCAGGGCCTTCCTTGCCAAATGGAAAGGGGCTGGATCGCCACCATCCCGAGGGTGTGTGCGAGGTGGGGTCCAAGAAGAGGGAGGGAGAGCCAAGGGGGAGAGGCGGACCCAGGCCAAGGACAAGGGGGCCTTTGCCTTACCCAGAGCAGTGCCCTCACACCACCACCACCCCCAAGTTCACTGCGTGTTTATCTCCGGGGATGAGGGGGTGTGGGGAGATAAGCAAGCGCCAAGATGGCCAGGGAATGAGCGCCATTTCTGCGGGAGGCCTGCGTGGGGCTCCTTTTCTCTGCGGAGGAGGCGCCTTTCGGGGACCAGCTCCACGCAGCCTCTACCACCCTTTGTTATGGGTGGCTGTGCCCGCTCCCCGAGGGGCTTTGCGCACCCTCGCCTGACCTTCCTCGGGGCCCTTTTACCACGGCTGCTGCCCCCGCGCGAAACCGGTTTGCGAGCGCGCAGACACATGGCCCGCCTTGCTCCCCCGCCAACCGGGCTGCTGGGGGCGCGTCAGCCGGAGGGCAGAGCTCGCTTGCTCCCGCTTTCTCTCCCTAGCGACTAGGCCCGTCTCGGGCCGGGGCGACGCCGCAGCCTTGGCCTAGGCCACAGCCTGGTTCTCGAGCTGGGTGCCAACCCACGATGGCGCTCTCCCTCCTCCGCTACTCACGTCCATGGAAGCCCCTCAACTCAACCCGGCTGTGGCAGGCCTGTCCGAGAGGCGCTTCTTGGCAGCGCCTTTGCGGCCTTCCCCAATAATTACGAGGCTGGCGAATTGGGGTGGGGGAGGGGAAATCGCCTGAGAAAATGACTTGGAGATCCCGGGGCGACGGGGGGGGAGGGAGGGGGGGAGAGGGAAGTTTTCTTTCACGTTTTCAAAAGGTGAACCAAGCGGAGCTTCAAAAAGGAATGGTGAGAACAATCTTCACAACAGCCTCTTCAAGATTGCCCCGTTTTTTCCTCCCTTAACCCCGGAATGCACTAAATGTAAACAACACAAACACAAATCCGCCCTACTTTCCTTGCCTTTGGAAAGTAATCAGAAAAATATTCGGGATTAAATTCTCCCCTAGACAGGAGCTTGCACAACTCTCATCCTTCTTGCCAGCTCCATACTAAAATGGTAAACAGTCGCCTTTGCGACACTGAATGCATTTCCCCCTTCCTTAAAAACAGAAATAGAATGCATTCATACAAAACTACAAATTAGAACTCTTCTTTTCCTCTAACAACATTGACCCCAACATTTTAGAGATACCCTTTTTCTTCTACAGTGCAATGCACATTAAAATTTAAACGTTAGTTTTAAACTAGATCGCCTTGCAATTTTGTATTCTCCAAATGTTACACTTAAGAATGGTAATTATTCTGATGGGAAATATTCTCCGTCGTATTATAAGCATCTTTCGACAGGTTTTAACTTACTCGGTGGTTTGGGCCATGGTGAGAATCTATGATAATTAAATATTAACAAAGAAAGGGACTGGAGAACAATGGAGTAAATTTCGAATCAGACGGGAATATTATCCGGTAGCGAAGGAGGTTGCTGTCTCTCTAACTCATTTTTAACACCTATGAATTTATTCGACGATAAAATATATTGCAAGCAAGGTGGAAAGTCCTTTCGGAAAAATAAAACAAAAATCGAGATCCAATTGTTTTAAAACAAGAAAATTCTATTGAGCGAATTTGCAATTCTCGTTCAGGAAGACTAAAACACCCTCAAGTGTCCCTGACGATAAAGGGCATTCCAGGCACTCGGCGGCTCCTCGTCCCGGCTCTCTCTTCCCGAGGCAGGGCTGGAGAGATCCCCACTTCGCTCCCACCCCTGCAAGCAAGTAAGTCTTCCTTTTCAGCGGCTCTGCAATAACTTCCAGGGCCTTTTCGAGCGCGGCTGCTCCGCACGAGAAGCCAGGGAGAAAAGAAAAATACTTCCAAGGCCTGCTTATTTCTAGAGGCCGGAGAAGACAACTTCACAGGTCGGGCCTTGGCGACCAGCAGCTTAGCTAGCCAAAGAAGGGGGCAGAATAGGACGCCTCCAAGGATTGCTACTGACTTCTTTTCCATCTTATCTTCTTGGTAAACGGAGAGAAGGGGAAATGAAAACAAACCCCACCTTGCAAACAGCCTCCTGGGCTTCAGATCCCGGCTATTTCTCCCAGCTGCCAAGAAGGAAATCGCTTTGTGTGCGGCTCGAGCCTTCGGCTCTTTCTCCCCGCGCCCTCCTGGAGTTTCGTCCTCACTGTATCAAAATCCCTCCTACGCCTGCCGCTGCCTCCCCACGTTTGTTTCAAAGCAGATAACTTTGTAAAACTGTCTTATTTTGCAAAGGCTGATTGCAACCCGCCGCCCCCTTTCGCCGCGATCGCCTTGCAGCCAAGTCGCCAGCTCTTTCGCTCGCTCGCGGGCGGGAGGTGGGTGGAGGGTCCAGAGACCCTCTTCTCGAGAGGCCAGCGACCTGGTCCAGAGCTGTTTGCTTACCTGACGAAGGCCTGTCCGAATAGCGGGTGCAGTAGACCCAGGCTGGCCACAGCATGGGCTGCGCGCTGGGGAAGGAGCTGGCCTGGGAGCTGTCCGAGTCGGAGCTCAGCGACTGATCGCCGCCGCCGCCACCGCCGCCGCTGCTGCCACTGCCGCGGGACTTCAAGGCTCCGTCGAGCGCGCCAGAGTCGCCGCCTTTCTTAGCCGGGGCTAGAGCTTTGGAGCCGCCGCCGCCTCCTCCTCCTCCGTCGGTCGGGGAACCGGAGGCTGGCGCCGCCGAGGGGCTCCGGGCGGTGAGGAGCTGCTGCTGCTGTTGCTGCTGCTGCTCCGGGTTAACGCTGCTGCCGCCGCCGCAGGTACCGCCGTCTTTCCTCCGGCCGAACTCCGGCCGCAGGATGTTGTCGATGAAAAAGTTCGTGATTCGGTGCGGCGGGTGCTGGTGCGGATGGTTGCCGGGCTCCTGGAGCGCCCGGGGCAGGAGCATCGCCCTCCGCCGGCTGGGCTCCCCGTCGCTGCCGCTGCTGGACTCCTCCGGCGGCGGCTGTTCGGCGCCTCCTTCGGCGCCCGGGCGCTGCTCGTTCTCCTCCATGCCGACCACGGAGTCCCCAAATGTTGTTCCCCTCCCGCTTTTGTCTGCGCGCGCTTCGGGGCTGCTCGGTTTGGGTTACCCCCCCTCCACACCCCCTTCCGCCTGGGTCCGCGGAGCAATCCAAATCCAGACTTTGCAAAGCGAGCCAGATATAACTGAAAATATTTTAGATATATATATGTTGCCGCCGCTTCTCCTTCTCCCTTCGGCTGCTGTAGTTGGTTCCTCCTTCTGCCCCTTCCAGCCTTTCAGTTCTGCAGCCCCCTCCTGCGTTCTTTGCCCCACAATGTATTCATCATTAGGACTTTCATCCGCCACCCCCGCCCCCACTCTTGTCCGGCTTCCGAGGGTGGAGAAGAGACTGGCGGCAACCTGACAAAAAAATGGTGACGATCCTTCCACGGGGGAAAAGTCAATGGAGCCCCCTCTGCTGAGCTGGAGAAAGTGCCTTCCTCCTCTCTACAGCGCACAAGGCAAGCGCAGGCTTGAGACACACAGAGGCATCTGGACAATCACAGCCGATCTCTGGCTTCCTCCCTGCCTTTGAGCCAAATATTCCAAGTTGCACAGGAGGAGATAAGAGGGGAATCTCTCTCTCTTGCTCTTCCGGACTCGCTTTCCCTGGCTACCTATAGTGGGGGTGTAAATTTAGAAGCCACTTAAACTGAACCTGAAATACTTTCACTCTGGATTTTTGTTCTTATTTTTAATAGAGCTCCTCAAGTGACGTTGCAAGGCCGGTATCCTAGACACGTGCCTTTGGCCAATGACAGAAGAGCCTTTTGCACACGTGATACAGTAGCACTCTAGTAAATGACAGGAACAGCCCCCCTCCTCCCGTTTCCCAATGCCCCCACCTCTTGATTTTAAAGCTGCAGCGTCCTCTGCTTCTCAAGAGCCTTTTTAAATATATATAAAAAAGAAGGAATGCAGGAATACCTTCGTCTTCTAAACAAGGGATAGATTCATCACCCCTTGTCTTGCTAATCTGTTTCCTTTTATATCTTCGCCTGAAGAAGGGCTCCAGTACACACTGGTGGGGGGTTCCTATATTGTTTACAATTGGAGTTGGGAGGGGGAAGGAGAAGACAGAATGAGAGGGGGCGAAATCCCACAATTCCTTGCAAAATGCATAAATAATATTAAATGAACCAGAGCGATACAAAGGGACTTTTTGTGTTACCGATTTATTTTGGGGGGGGGTGGGAGCGAGAGGAAGAATCAGAGGCAGTTAATTTTAAAGCAGACTCTCTCTTTCGCCGTCTTTTTGTCTTACTATTTCTCTGCGCCCGCGCGCACACGCACACCAACCAGTCCCAGCCCCCTCTTTTGTAATCCCGGAGCCTCGCCTGCAGGAAAAGACGGGCAAATATCGGGGGTTCCTGTTGGGGGGGGGCTTTTTAAATGCCAGACTGCACTGGGGCTGCTATTATTGGTAACTGCAGTGCAATAAACATAAGACGGTATGATAATTGATTCATTCAGCTGAAAACTGGACAGGAGCCTTTGATCATTTATTCCAGCTTCAAAAACAATATTAAACAGAGAGGTTTCCCATTGACAGGCAGGAGGACGTGAGAGTCCCCCTTCCCCCAAGCAGCTCTAATCAAAATAATCAAGCGATAGGGGTATTCACACACGAACACACACACACACACGCGCGGAATAGATACAGCCCTCCCATTTTTAATCTTGTTTAAAAAAATCTAAATAATAAGAACTCCAAATGTTGCATTAAGGTCTGTCTGGAGTCTGCAAGGAGTGCTCCTCACCGGAGTTGCAAAGAAGGCCCCCTCCCCACGGGGCCAGCCCTCTCCTTGAGCGTCTCCTCCTTCGGCCTGCGAAGGATTTTTTCCTCCCCAAACCTCCCGCTAAACACTCTGCCTGCAGACAGAACCAAAATAACCATCTCTTCCATGCCATCCGCGGGATCTTTGCTTGGCTGCTCTTGAATTTGTGAAAGTCACCCAAAGGTCACTGAAACGCTGGAGGGTGAGTGCAGCTTTAAACACACACACCATAAACCAGCCGAGGAGGAGAAAGCGATGGTGATGGCGAGGATGGTGATGAGAACAACAACCTTAAGAAAGCAAAAGAAAAGCTTTTGTCAACAAACTCTGACGATGGGGGAGGGGCTGGAGAGTGACGGCACATGATCCAGTCAGCGCCAAAGACAAAAATGAAGCCAAAACATTCACGGCGGCGTCCAGGCAGCTGCTCCTGCCCCTGTTTAAGATTTCCAAGGCAGACGTTGCCCACCCTGAGGCGGGCCGCTCAGCGCTTTTCGCCTTCTCTCCCGGAGGCCCGTTGCAAGTGCGGGGAACCCAAGAGGCTGGGTGGGAAGAAGGGAAAGCAGGGTTAGGCAAAGCCGGGACAGAAAACCTGGGAAGGGGTGGGAGAGAGAGCAAGACGCGAGGATCGGGAGGCCAGCGGCCCCGAGGGCAAGGAGCTGGCGGCGGCGGGGTAGGTGGGTGGAAGGCTGGGTCCCTAACTCCCCTCTCGCTGAGTCTCCACCGGTCTCGCCCTGGTGGTAGGCTTCGGACTTCTTTTTTCTTTGGGGGCGTCCTGTGGTGGTGATTAATCCTGGAATTGCTTCAGATTAAAAGGGAGCAAAAAATGGGGGTAGCAAATCAAGCAGACCTTTCGGAAGTCTCAGCTGAAGACAAGAAGATAAAAAGCCTCACAAACATATACTAACATCGCTCTCATCGAGTATTTATCCGTGCTGTTTAGTGTTGTCTGCGGGTCTGTTTGCTTGCTTTTTAAAAAATATATATTTTAGCATTGGTAATGCTGGACTATTTTTAGCGCTCGACAGCTGGACTCAACTGGAGAATGCAAAATACTTGAGGGGGGGGTTAAGACACAAGTCATTTCAGCAAACTGCGTTGCTCAATGCAGTATTGTGAATTTTAAAATAAATAGGTTACTTCAATTGGGCGAGCACGTCAAGTCCCCACACGCTGGTAATTGGAAGTGAGCCCCGTTTAAATAAACAATGGTAGCCTCCAAATTTTTGAACATTTTGGAGTTAGCGGAAAGTAATCTGGAAGATTTTATCTTTCTGTAACTCAGAGCCTCCTTTCTACGACTTTGTTTAACTGTTGCTTTTGCGTAATCCAAAATGCGATACTGATTTCTGTTTGGATTTTTGCTCCCACCACAATTTTTAAAATCCTGTATAATTTACAGTATCTGGGCACACAAAGAGATCAAGTATCCCTGATCTAAAGGGTTTGTGCTCTAACAAGCACCTTGAGGTTAATTTCTTTAAGAGCCCCATGGAAAGCGATTAGGCTGTCTCCCAAGAAGTATTTTCTAATTACTGGGAAGACCTGGCTTTCCTCGTACCCCATAATTAAACGTGTCCAAGGTGTTGCACTTCAAATATTTCCCTTCAGGGCGGACCCCAAGTTATTGACTTGAGCTTAAAATATCTTGAAGTAAACATTAGCTGCCCAACGTATCAAGTAACACTTCTTGTCACTTAGCGCTGACCACACTTTAACATTTCTATTTGCTAAAATTACCTTGAGGTACTAAATACTCGACTACAGGCGAAGAATTCCTTCGGTAAAGTCCAAGGCAGATGATTAACAAAGGCTGTACCCAAAACAGTTATTGCAGTGGACTCTTCGTTTGGCTTAAATCCCAGTTTTATTCCCCTCCCCCGCAAAAAGACAGCAACGATAGGGAATTCTGGGAGAAAGAATGGGGTGGTAGTGGGGAGTCTTGGAAAAATTAGTCGAGCCTATTTTCCAAAATACCTCAACATTATATCTATTTTATTCTTAAAAGCTGTCTGCAACAAGTTTTGTTTCAAAATGAAGTAAAATGAAGTAAAATATAATATAATATAATATAATATAATATAATATAATATAATATAATATAATATAATATAATATAATATAATATAATATAATAATAGTGTTGAAGTTGTTTATAATTGTAAATTGTCATAAGAAGAGACCAGGAAATTTGTTTTGAGAAGTTGGAGCTCTTTCAGTTTCTACTATCGAAAGAGAAGATAAGGTGATTGTGACGCAAATCTGCATGTGGAGATTTTGAATACGTGTATTTCCTCCCCAGTAAATACGTTGATGTCAATTTGTGTTGAGCAAACCGTCCCCTTTTTAGACTAACCCACAACCCAATTAAACCAGAATATCTGGCTTTAAAACCATTTACTCTTCTACCCTAACCGTATTTCTCGGAAATACACTTCAATGGAGTCAATGGGATTGAGGTCCTTCCGGTCAATATGTTTCGAATTGGAGCCGAATCCAAATACAGGCAATCAACTGGCGTCGAGGGCTGCAGCCTTTACCAACGCAGTTTCTTTTACTAGGGAACTTATATGAGCCACACCCAACATATCAGTCAGGAACTAGTTGGGCCGGGACAGTGTGTTTTTACTTTCGCTAGCACACATTCTTCGCAGAGAAAGTCGTTCTTAGCTTGACTGTTGAGGCGTCACTGGCCCTGCAGTTGCCTTACAGTGGGCGTATCAGTAGCGGCCTGCCAGGCGTTGCTTACCTGGCTTCCCAACTCTGCCTCAGGTCGCTGCCGGTCACCAAGAAAGAAAGGGGACCCTGCTGCCTTGCTCCTCCCCCTCTCGGTAACCGGCAGAGACCTGCGGAAGAGTTGAGAAGCCAGGTGAACAACACCTCCCTCCCTGCCAGGACTGCCCCACCGGTGGAAGAAGGAAGAGGAGACCCACGGGTATCGCAGACTGTCCTGTAGTTCTGTGGGAAAGGCTGGACTGTCGTCCTACAGGCGGGCTAAAGCGAGACGATTTGTATCGTGACTCCGCTAACCTTGTCTCTAACAGCTTGTACTGGCTGATGTGGTGAAAGTTACAAGTAATGAAAGCAATCAGACAGATCAGACTTTCTCTGGGCTCGTTTGTGGCAACGTCAGAGGAGATGCCCTGATCCTTCTGAAAGCTAATTCATAAAAGGGTTTTTGGGGAGTGGGGTTGAGGAGAGAATAAAGGCAAGGCTTAGCAGAATCTGCAGAGATCTGTCTGCCTTGTAGCCTGCGACCTTTACGGTCCAACATTCAGGAGGGGGAAACGAGAACCTGGTCAAAACAAGAATCAATTATATATTGTTTTAAATAAATAAAAAACACAAACACGCCTTTGCAACCCCATTTCTGTAACAAAACGCGAAAATATGACCAATATTGTAGTTGGTGTACACCAAATTTCGCAGTGTTTTATCAGATTTCCATCTCACAAAACGCCTGGAATACCCCGAACACCTTCACAGAAAACCCACATTTTAAGGTAGTTGGTGAAAGGTCAGATCGAGCGCTAAGTATGTTGGGTTTGGGAAACATCCAGTACGCAGGCACAGCCACCACGCAAGCCATGGAGTTACCTTCAAAGTGAACAGATCAATGGCGATTGCCATGAAACAGATCTACAAGACAAGAAGTTACTTTAAGCCGGTTTTGCAAACAGTTTGGAATCAACACTCCAAGCAGAATAGAGTGAAAGGTGTGTGGGGGGGGATCTTATGTATTTTGTATGTTAGAAAAAAAGTAATATATATCGCTTTGGCTGTGGTATCGAAATCAACAATAAATCAACTCTGTACCCAAGACAAAGAGGGGAGAAATTCAGAGAGTGAATGTAGCGTCAAGAAGTTGAACAGCAAGACGATAAACAGCAAAATCGTTTTCTTAAGGGTCATTGTTATTACCCTATTGCAGAGCATTTCATGGCTCTCTCTCTCTCTCTCTCTCTCTCTCTCTCTCTCTCTCTCTCACACACACACACACACACACACACATATAGGAGAGAGAGAGAGAGAGAGAGAGAGAGAGAGAGAGAGAGAGAGAGACTGCATTCCTATATTTACCTAGGAGTAATCCTCATTGAATTCAATAAGAGTTACTTCTGAGTAGGCATGTGTAGTGCAGCAGCCCGGTCCACAAATAAATTAGGCCCCTTTACTTGACAACTGCATCCTAAATAGTACCTTCGTCTGAAAACGTCATAAAAATACCAGTGGTCTTTATTTGTAAATCAGGTGTTTAAGACCATCCATGCCTTCATTTTTCAGATTTGTAACTCGCCTTTCTCTACGGTCATATACTCAAAGCGGCTTACAAGTATAGAACACAGCAATAACATTGGGAACTAGAATGCAAGAAAACAGTAAACAAAAACAAAAGAAGCAAATGCACCTTGATCTTAAACGCATTACCTGGGATTCATTTCCACTGGTTGGAAATATAAGACAGCACAACAAGTGCCATAGGATACAATATAACTTAGGGTAAAACACCATCCTCATTCAGGTAAATCGGAACTGTCTTAGCAAGACAATGCAGTATTTCAAAAAGTGATCCCCCTTGGGAGAAGTCTGACCAGGTGTTCCTTTCGCAAATAACTTTTAATTGAGAAGTAATCCCCAGCTACTAGGGGTCAGGGTACTTCTCTACGTGTGCTAAACACGCATGATATTGCTTCTTCTCTCAGTCCATCCTTCCAAGTCTGATCATCCACATCCAGCAGGTTCTAGGTGTATAAGATTGAATTGGCCCGTAAAGGTACACCGGGATTATTTTTATATGTCCTTAGTCAGCTGCGCTCACTTTTACAGTATTTTAGGATTCTCTTCGGAATAGGAGAAGGG